TGTACCCGGCGATGCGCGGATAACGACCGTAGCATCTGCCGGAAACTGGGCGCTACGATATCGAGGACGCTGAGTTACGGACGGAGCAGTTTGGCAATCCATATCATAGAAACAGCGATAGAAATCAAATCACCTGGCGACCGACTAAAACTGCGTGGCTGAAACGTCATCTCCATAGCAAATGAACAGTGTCATCGCGATGTCAATTTGGACCTTATCGCCGACTGGAATGCAGAGCTTCCCCATTTGGACCTTATCGCCGACTGGAATGCAGAGCTTCCCCATTTCTCTCCCCATGCCTGATCCTACACCTGCACATTGGACAAACCACAGCATTCCAAATGCTCTAATATCTCCGTGAGATTTGCCACCTTGTGGCTTCAGTGACCGTGAACGCCCACGAACGAACATGTTTGGTGACAGTTTCTTGGCAGACAAAGTACGGTCGAGGCCATGAACGTATGGCGAAAGGCCCTGATATAGCGTGTTACCTCCTGCAGGGTGAGGCCGATGGTGAATCGGAAGTATTTTAAACCTGCCATGAACCGCAAGGCTCACGCTGATTAAGCCCCAACGATACGCATATTCCTTTGTATAAGAATGCCTCCACAAAAGGACGAGTGTTTGAAACGGCAGCAAAATGGACACATGAGGCCGCACTATGATGTGACGTTATGCACCCAAAAGCTTCTTTTTTTTGTTCCAAACCCCAAATGTGCCCGGAATATGCAAGCTTGCCCATGCGTGGTCTTACGTCGGTAAATGCCCCGGTTTGCACCGTGAACTATTCATGCTAAAACATCGCTGTTTAAGACGGATGGTCATAGCAAGATTATTGAAAAGGAACATGGTGCAGGTTGGCATCACACGCTGCGCAACTTCATGTTTGTCATCGTTTCCAGGACGATTGCAGTGCACGTGCAGGCGATAGCGATATGGACCCTTCGTCTGATACGCTGAGGATTCTTCGTTGGCATCGTTTAATGGTGAAGATGCCTGGGAATCTCTCTTTTCGGTAAGTAGTGCTCTGTCATCATTCGTCAGCACGGTAGCAGCATGCCCGGATGACCGTGAGGCAATCTCCTGAAGCTGTTTGTTTCGGTTTCGTGAATAATACTGAGCAGAGGGTTTCTAGTAAAACGTGTTGATTACAACGTGTAAGGTTTAAATGATAGCAGTTTTTAATATGAACAGATACGAGTTAGAAAATATATATCATCTAAATATGGCATATATACGCATATACACCGTAACCATGTACGCACATATGCACATATATATATATATATATATATATATATATATATATATATATATATATATCCCTCTATCTCCCTCTCTCGTCCCTAGGTACACTTAATAAGTGGGTGAAGCCATTCGTCAGAGCGATATATGGACGTTTTACGCAGGCAGACAAAGGTAGCCTTGCGTCCCGACAACCGTTCCGCGGCATTTCCGCCAGAACCGTTATGGATCCCAGCAGTCGTCCCAGCTGACCTACAAATACTCCCCGGAACGGTCCTGGCTCGCCCGGCTGGCTACGCCTGCCGGGGCCAAAACGCCAGACTCCTACCATTTCGGTGAGTGCGGCGAAGTGTTTGCCGTTACCGGCGCGCGGTGGTAGATAGACCGGGTCCCCCATGACGGGGACGGGAAGACTCCTGGCTCCGGCGCACCCGCCCGACGTCAACAAGCCACCGCACCTCTCACTGCCCGCAGCACGTCCAGCGGCCACGCTATCGTGCCGCCGACCGGCCGCCCTCGACGCCCACGCCTCCACACCGACCGCGCGCGCCGCCCGAGCACGCTGCCCGAGCACGCCGCCCGAGAACGTCACCCGAGCACGCCGCCCGAGCACGCCGCCCGAGAACGTCACCCGAGCACGCCGCCCGAGAACGTCACCCGAGCACGCCGCCCGAGCACGCCGCCGCCACGTCCACGCGCGGCCCGGGCAACGGCCGGCGACTGCAGCTGGCGCGGCGCGCCCCTGAGCGCGGCGGCGCCTGCCCGCCGTCTACGGCCGTCTACGGTGGCGGCGGCCATGGCCGGGCGCGGCCAGCGGCCAACAGGCGGCGTCGCGCCATTGATTGCCCCGTGAATAATGCACGGCAGTCGGACGTGCGGACGGGTCCCGGTTCACAGACAAATATCTACATGAGCGGCCACTCGCGTGACGCGCGTTCCGAGCCCTTGCACGCCGCGGCCGGCAGAAATAGCGCCCCCGCTGCCGGTCGATGCCACGCGACACCCCCCCCCCCCCCCCTTCTCCCCCCGCATGACCTGCGGCACTGGGAGCGGGTGCCGAGGTGGGACCGCGCGGGCGGGCCGCGGGGTCACGGTGGCGCGCCGGGCGTAGACTCTGGCGACACATGCAGGCTACTTCGCGCCGTTTGCAAGTTCGGCGACCGGTCGCCCCGCGGGCGGGGTGGAACCCGGCTGCAGGAAAAGCTGCTGCACCTTGCTTGAGGTCAGCACACGAGGACACGTTTGCTGCAAGCATTGGGAAGCGTTGGCGCGGAGTTAATTCCGCAAAGCGAGCTGTTAGCAGCGCTGGTGCACGGCAATGACGGGGCGATGTGACAACTGCGAGAATTCCAGCAGCCAAGGTGCTGATTATTCCGCCGGCCGTGCGCTGCGTTGTTTCGTGTGCCACATGTGTGATGCTGGCAGGAGCCTGCGCGTGCCAGGGAGTGCAGACCGTGGCGGGATCTTTAAAGATCGTGCACGTGGCGGCAGGCGATCGGTGAGGCAAGCATGCGCATTGCGCAAGATCACCACGCATGACAAGTACCGGGACACCTATGAAATTGGAAACACTACTTTCTGCTTGCTCCAGTCATGTGATGTCGTGCAGTTCTGCAGGTTTGGTCAGCCGGGCTTGAAAGCCTAATTGCCTTGGTTTTAGCCATACCCTAAATTAGGCTTAGTGGGCCACGCTTGTGATCACGGACTGCTCACCGGGCATGTAGTGTAGAGAAGAACACGCACCGGTGAACAGGAACAAATCATAAACGAAATAGAATGCAGAATGAAAAATGGCCTCGCCGTCACGCAGGCCCCATCCATCACGGACGACACAATCGAAGCGCTGCTTGCCTGGAAAACAGCATGGCCAGGTATTCACTGATGGGAACGGAAAGGAAAACGAAACGCCTGCCACGTAATGACTGCTTGCTTAGCCT